AAATTTCAAAAATCGATTTTTTTTTTTTTTAATTTTTTTTCTCGTTACGGTATAATTTTATAGACTAAAAAATAATAAGTTTCTGAAAATTTCAGTTCAAAATTCGGATTTTGAATGGTCGCTCATAATTTTTTTCAATTTGTTAGTGCATTAGTTTAGATTTTTTCGAGCGAACTTTTACTATTCACATTAAAATTCCATGCATTTTTTTTTTTTTTTTATTTAGTACAATAATCGATAAGAATATATCACGAGATGAACTAAAAATCAAGGACAACATAGAAAATATAATTTTTTTTTTAATTTAATTATTTTATTTAATCAACTGCCAGGCGTGAGTTCTAATCCCAAGCTGGTCTTAGAAACCAGTTTGGTTGAGATTTGACCTTGCCGCGTAATTTAAGATTTTTTCAAACCAAAAAGACCCCAGCGTACCACTCCCAACACTTAAAGTCGGCGATTTGACTAATTAACGAAAAATAAAAAAAATTATGAGCGACCTTTCAAAATTTAAATTTTGAACTGAAACTTTCAGAAACTTATTTTTTTTTTTTGGTCTATAAAATTTATACCGTAACAAGAAAAAAAATTAAAAAAAAAAAAAATTCAATTTTTGACGATTTTTGAAATTTTGAAAAATTTGGAGCGACCTCTTAAAAATTTTTTTTTGAGCTGTCCTTTGGTGAGGGCTCTTAAAACATCAAAAACTAACATTTTTTAACTCGAGACTAAAAAAAAAACAATAGTCGGTTTTTTTGCGCCACCCTAATACATACATATATAAACTTCCAAACCAACGTCATTTTTAAGCCTTACTCGACTAAATAATTGATATAGTAACGAAATTCTGTGTGAATTTTGACACAAGGGCCAATGCAATAGATAGATTTTATGAAACCGTCTAAGGCCTCGTGTCCGATAACGAGGACCTCTCTAGCCATTTTCTCAAAATTACTAGTCCTTTTGCTCGCGATCGATAGCATAGGGTTTCACCCGTGCGAGTAAGAGCTATGATTTATTATCTGTTATCAATATTATGCTTTAATATTTTCTTTGTTACCTGTCCTGATAACCATCGTTGAATCCTGGCTTTTAATGCTGAAACAAGCTTATAATATGATTAAATACAATGTAGCAATGACCTACGGTGATATATGCATACAGTAATAAAAATTAAATTATAAATAGTTTAATATAAATATCTGAAGTAAATATCAAGTTAATTACTTATGAACTAATAACATGAATATAATAATTCTCAAATATAATTAATAATAAATTATATACCATAAATAAATTAATCAATATTATACAAAATAGTAAAATTTTAGAGACACACCGAGTGTGGATCCGTTGTCAAAACTACGGGCAGAGAGGGACGCACACGGAAAATAAGAATTCCCGTGACGAATATATTGAATCATTTACTAGAGCGTATCGTGATATATCTGATCCAGCGTCTTCTTCTTTTCAAATACTGAATAGTTTTCTGAAGTAGAATTTACGAGTATTAATTATTATTCTTCTCCATCTGTACTTAAATTCTTTTACAATACTCAAATCCCTCAATAGACTAGACAGGCATTTTATCACATTTAGAAATTCTTTTGACTCTAATTTGTATACTTTTAAAATATCCTAAAAAAACAGATTTATAGAATGAATACTTTTATCGACTTGTAAATTTTTTCTAATATCTTTAAATATTTTTGTTTGTACAGCTGGTCAAAGTAACGGAGATTCGGCAAATCAACATCTTGGAAACCCTGATCAATCTCCTTCTACAGAAAGAGATGATAGTCAGACATCCGCTGGTGATTCTCAAGATGGTCATCAAAATGATAAGTTGTCTAAGCTTCAACAGGAATCACAGCGAACAGCAACGAGAAATACTAATTTAGCTTTGAAGATGTTAACACGATCAAAAAGAAAGTTCCCACATGAAGACGACACCTCATCTGGAGAAGAAAACGATATTGACGAATCAGGCCAACTATCGAGAAATCATGTTTCGAGTCCAGCATCATCAAATAATTCTTTACATGCTAGCGACCAAGTTTTAAAACCTTCAAGTCCCAATGATCATAGCTTGGAAACTTCTGAAACTCCAGATGTTACACCTGGAACATCAGTGAAAGATTTAGAACAAGCAATGTCAAAGCACCTACCGAGTGCATCTTTAAATAAGCCCGACTCCACTGCTGCACATCAACCAACAGATTTTAGCGCAGATACACTTTTAAAACAGCAACAACAAAAGTCAACAATACAGTGGATTGGTGCACATCATTTAGGTCATTTAAACCCACAACAAACAAATACACCATCTTTACCTGCTTCGGCACTTTTACGTCAACTATACGCTAATCGAGAAAGTGTCATTCGTGCAAACGTTCATGGCATTACTTCAAGTTCCGGTAGAACATCTTCTACATCGGTTTATTACTCAGGAGAAGTTAATCAAGGTCCACTTCCTACACCTCCTAGTTCGGAAGGATCGTCAGCATATGGTGAACATCAGTTTGTACTTGGTCACAGTCAAAAACCACCATCGATATCAGAAACATTCAATGGTTTAGTATCGTCATATTCTATAGGTGGTAGTTATGGTGTTGAATTTCACTCAACAATGACGCCACCATCGTCAGTATCCCCCAGAGATAAACAACAACCACAACAACAGTCGCAACAACAACAGCAAAAAAACAAACAAGAACAACATGGACAACAGCAACAAAAACAGCCAAAAGACCAAATACCACCCCCCCAGCAGCAACAACCAGAACAACCGCAGCAACAACAGCAACAAGAACAGCAACACCACATTTCGAGTGTCATTTCCTATGAAACTTCCGTTTATAATGACACAGTGCCACGACATCAATATGAACCTGCACAACCTCTTCCTCTCAAGCCTCAAGTCTATGCTGCCAGTATTCATCCAAGTGCATTGGATGCAGCTGCAGTATATACTTCCGCCAGTCTTAGTGAACACGCACAATTTTACCATCATCCAGCTACCGGTCCCGGCTTCCATTTATATCACTCTAACAATAAAAATAATCCTAATAGCTGGTACAGTTCAGCAACCTAGAAACAGAATAAATTACATTAAATAGACTCATTTTAGGAGAAACGAACTTAAGTCTGTCGATTGGAAGAAAATTGATAATAATAAGTACATATCAAGGACTGACTTATTTGCTGAATAGTATATATATTTTTAGTAAATCCTTTAAGTGGTGCGGGTGATATTGGATGAGTGAAAATAATACCATGACGTATATATGCGGAAGGATTATGTATTTATGGATTCAAAAAACTTTAAACAAAAATGATATCGAATGCTGAACATGTATAGCGAATATTTTGTTCAATAATGTTGAAGATCTATTAAAAGAAATAACATTGATCCAATTCCGACTTCATGCTTAGTGCAACTCAATTGATCAAATGAGATATCGTAAGCATGGAATGTGAATTATTTAAAAATAACTATTACCGTAAATTTGTAATATAAAATTATCTTTATCTAAAAAATCAATGAAGGTCGTAACCAATTAATTGACAGTTATGAATTTGTGATTGGTTCTTATAAGAAATGAATAAAGAAACATCACTTGTTACGCTACAGAAATAAGTTTTCTCATCAATATCTTTGTTTACGTCATCAAGAACATTGAAATTCCTGAATCTTATCAACAATAGTCTTAATAATTATGATTATATATAGAGTTTAAATGTAGATTATAAGCTCTTAGCAATACTGAATATATAACTAAAGTTTAAAAATCTATGATCTTGAATGTAACGAGTTGTAGTTGGCGGAAATTACGACTTTTTAATCTCAAGTGTATATAATTCCTATTTCATTACTTTCACTCTAAAGATAAATCTATTGGATAAATCTATTCAATATTTTAATAATTTCAATTATTATAAACTGTAAAAACTAATTCCTAAAAATGACGAATTTCTAATGTGCTAAGTCGTTACTTCATCAATTTTCGACATATCTACTGTAAATATTGTAAAAATCAAGCCTTATCTGATAAAAGTCATGCAGATAAATTACACCGGCCCACAAAAAAAAAGTGGTCTGTACTTTTGACCGATCTATCTATTTTTACGTATTTTAAGGCGCTGAATCCGAATCTGAAATCAGTTTTGACCGTTCACCCTCAAAATTATGAGTAAAATGCAAAAAAATCCAAAAATAAGGCAAAAAATAGAGAAAAACTGACACAGCAATGAAAAAATTTTTTTTGGACCTGGATCACGTATGATTTTTATATATTTCAATATATCGAATCTGAATCTAAATGTTAAGAAGCCCCTTGAGCCGTCAAAATTTAAAAAAATTGCAAAAAACCCAAATAAATTGCAAGAAATTATAAAGAATCGAAACTATCAAGATTAAAAAAATTTTTTGGATTCAGATTGAGTATGATTTTTATGTACTTTGTTCCACTGAATTTGAATCTGAAGTTTTCTTGTCCCATTGACGTTTTGAAATTTAAAAAAATCTTAAAAAATCTAAAAAATCGAGAAAATTGCAGTTATAAATATGTGAAAAAATCTATTAAACACGATCGTTAATGACTTAGGTATATTTTTATGGATGGAATATGATCTTAGAATTGAAAAACTCACAAAATTTCAAAATCGGTAAAGAATAGCATGTAAGGAGAAAGTACGGAACCATTTTTTCGAATTTTGAACAATCCTTCGTTTGTATCGAACTTTTTTATATTCAAATGAGTTTCGCAGAGGGTCCTCTTACGTTTTCTGTTTTATTCTGGTATTTCTTGGTTTCGCACCCAGCAAAAAGTTGATTGAACTTGATTAAATTTATGTCTATCAAAAAATCTTTTCAAAAACCATGCGAAGATAAGGAACGATCTTTCTGATGTTGAGCTGTTCTTCACTTGTGTCAAACCCTGTTGTCTTCGAATGACCTACGCAAAGGGTTTCGTTTTCGCTTTTTGTTTTCATCGGGTACATCTCTCTTTAGTGTCCAGCAATGATCTGCCATAATATTGACATCCCACTTTCCTTGATATCAACTCTCCATTTCACTTATGTTTTGGTGGAATCTTTCGCCTTGCTCTTTACTGTAGTCGCCAAGATTTTCAGGAAAGTGTTGAATGTGTAACAAAAATTACGCCCTCACTGACAGTGGAGTGATCAGTGAACACGCGATATTGTCCAGGTCGCCCAATAAATTAAACAAATAAATCAATAAACAAAAAGAGGACTTAAGAGGTGACTCTCGTCCTCCCAAGCAACCAACAACTCGATCTCAAGCTGGGTTAGTGTACGATCTGGGCGCCAGTTGCTCTTTGCACTCGGGAAACAACAATCCCGCTAATTTCCAGGGCCAATTCACCAGCAGATATTTAGATAGTTAGGTTGTAAATAAAGTAGAGAAAGAGGAGAGTAAATCAGCTGAAATAGACAGGAGACAAATAAATTATTCCCTCGGTGGTCGTAAATAATAATAAAAAATATATTCATAAACAAAACTTAAATCTATTTAACAAATTGTCGGAATCCCCTTGCCTACAATGGGTTTCTTTAAAACTAAATCGTCCGTACTTATCAAATAATCAAATATTTGTCAACAATCTTTGTTAATGTTTGACTTAATTATTTAGTACAAATTACTCGATGAATATACTTCAGGTGTGCCTGATCTTCGAGGGCTGCACCAAAAAAAAACTTGTATATTAAATTTAAGTCCTTATTTACTAACAAAAGACTCGTGCGTATTACTATTAATTCTTGAATTTATTTATTAATTGAATAATATGAACGCTTTTATTCCTAATTCCCTAGATATATTCAATCAATATTCTTATGTGATACAAACTAAGCTTATTTGCTTTTACTTTATCGGGTAATTTATTGATTACTTTATCTTAATATTTTATTTAATTGATCTTGGATCTCAAATTAATTTAATTATAAATTCATCCGTTCATAGATAAAAAAAATCGCAATGGCATAAAATTTTATCCAAATACCGCAACTCACGTCGTTGGTTACATTGCAACGCGTGATTATATATATATATATATATATATATATATATATATATATATATATATAT